ATTTTAAATTATAATTTTTAAATTCCATTGGAATATGGATTAGCAAATATCCCCCCCCCCCCACTATGTATGTCATTTTCAGGATGGACCTCATGAAGTTGCATCTTTACAACAACACAGGATAGCGGACCTTTTCATCACATGCTTTTCTGAGTCTATTTAGTTTTGACAAGCATATGTCCTACCATGAGACATGATGCAGACAGATATCCACTGGGAAATGGCATGGTGATATAAATTCCCAGGGTTGTGGTTTGTTGGTAATACTGTATGTTACAGATTAGAATAGCTGATCTTCTCAGAGAACTTCATTCTCTTAACCTTACTGCAGGTGTCACAGTTGCTGACAGGCTGGTCAGCAGGCTTGGGTTGTTGCAGAATTAACAGCACCAGGAGGAAAGAGCAAGCTTCAGTGGAAGAAGGGCGGACGATGGTAGAATTGATAAATGGACTCATTCCTCATTTCTTTTGGAGCCAACTACTCATCAGGGTCATTGTAGTATGGCTGAAACAGAGAGAGAGGCAGGATAGCAGATGGATTTGGTGGGGGAAGGAGGCTGGCATTTAGCAGGTGGAAGACTCCAGGTGGCTGATATTCATGGAGACAGTGGCATCAAGAGATGCGAGGTTGCACCAAGTGGAGGAAGTAGACTTTTGTTAGAGACAGGCTGGCAGACTGGCAGTGGATCCAGTAAAAGGAGGGGGACATTTGAGAAAGTGCTTTCAAAGCTGAGCAACTGAACCAGCAACAGACAAGTATACACAAACAGAGCAATTGTTTAAGTTGTGTTGCTGCAAAAGATCTCAGAGGTAGGTGATACATCAATCAATAAAACAGGCTTTGACAGGAGCAATTGGACTTGTGCAGGGGAGCCAGTAGAAGGAGGCTGACAGGGGAGGAGAAAGTGGTTTTCAGCACTGCGTAACTGTGCTGAGCAGAGTTGGGAGGAAATAACAGAGTTGGTAGAGGAGGACTAGCAAGTCTTACCCTTTGTTTTTAGAAGAACTAGACTTTTGAGCAAGGCTTATGGTTAGCTTTACTCCCAAATCTTAGAAACAGTAAGTTTCTAAGAAGCCTTCCTGGATGTCCTATTATCCTCAGATAATTCTTAACTGGGACCAGGGAGATTGCATTTTCAGTGGAGGCACCTGGGCTCAGCAACACTCTCCTAAGGAAAGGGGTTGATCCTTTTTTTGATGGCCTCTAGATAGTTAAAATCCTCCTTTTTAAGAAAATATCCAGGAAAAACTGTTAATGTTTATGTGCATTCTCTCTTTCACATAAGCAACATTATGCAAAGCACAGAAAAGGAGTCAGAAATAGTAAGCAAAATAAACAAACAAATAAATGCAGGTGGATCAGAGGAAAGAAAAGGAAATCTGACTTAATGTAGTTTATACTTCCAATCTTGCTTCTACCACATCTGTACACCAATTAATACACTGCCTCTTGTTCTTCAAACTTCTCACATTTCTGCTTGAAGTTCTTATCAATTCCACCCAAACACAATTTTCTTGGCTATCTCCTCCTTCTCAACCCATTCACTCTTCCTTCATATGTTTGCCTTGACATTAGAATTTCATCCAGTCTTCCTCTATGACCAAACAACTGGAATGTACTTCTTTTGCATTGCTTAATTTTGTCTTTGATCCACATTCATTCATCACCCATTCACCACCCACTTTAATTTTTAATGTTTGATATTGTCTGGATGCTTTATTTTTTATAGACTCAGGATTAATGTAGGATCACTGGCTTTGATTGAAGAGAACAGGTCTGCCATTTACTTATTTTCTGTTTCTGAGCACCCTGAAGTGTCTGGTGGATGTGAGGAACAAGATGCTGGTCTGAGATGAGTTCTAGCTCTAGTGGGGGAAGTTCTAGCTTCTAGTGGGGAATCAATGTGCCTGTTTGGGAAGCAATTAGGAAGAAACTAGCTTGTTTAAACAGGTTTTTTGGTGCTAATTAAAAGTACATTTCAGTCATAAGACAATTCACCCCCAAAAAAGCTCTTACAATAGAGCCTTTTCCAGAGAGCTGGGTCTTTGCATAATGTGTCCAAAGTAGGATAATTTGAGCCTAGTCAATTGTGCCTCGAGTGAGAACTCTGGGCTGATTTGTTCAAAGAACCTTTTGTTTGTTTTCCTGGCTGTCCATGATATTTTCAGGAGTTTTCTTCAACACCCAAGTTCAAAAACGTCAATATTCTTCCTATCCTAATTCTTCAAAGTCCAACTTTCACTTCCATAGAGTGTCAGAGGGAATACTGTGGCTTGCATGATTTTGACCTTTGTAGGCATAGACACATCACAGAATTTGAATATCTTTTCCAGGGACTTCATGGCTGCTCTACTGAGTGCTAGACTGTGGCATATTTCTTGACTGCTTGTTCCTTTACTGTTGATGGTTGATCCTAAAAGGCAGAAGCTATCCACCACTTTGATATCTTCATTGTAAATTCTAAGGCTGGTTGCTCTACCTGTTGTCTTCAGTTTAGTCTTCTTTATATTTAATTTTAGTCCCATTTTTTCACTGTGCCCCTTAACATTTATTACTAATGCTTAGAGATTCTTTGTTTTTGGCTATCAGGGTAGTGTCATCAGCATAGTGCAGGTTATTGATGTTTGTTCCTCTAATTTTAAAACCACACTTATCTTCTTCCAGTCCAGCTTCCCTTGACATATATTTAGCATACAGACTGAATAAATAAGGGGAGAAAATACAGCCTTGTCTCACTCCTTTCCCTACCTGGAGCCAGTCTATTTCACCATATTCTGTCTGTACTATGGCTTCCTGATCTGTATATTTATTTATTTATTTTTATTTTATTTATTATTAAACTTGTATGCCGCCCATCTCCCCCAACGGGTTATATAAGTTTCTCATGAGGACAATGAGATGTTCTGGGATTCCCATTTTTTTCTGAGCAGGTTCCACAGCTTGACATGATTGACACAAAGTCCTTTCTATAATTAATGAAGCTTATAGTGACTTCTTTTTGGTATTCTTTGTCTTTCTCAATTATCCAGCAAGCATCAGCAATAACATCTAATGTTCCTTGGCCTTTTCTAAAGCCAGTTTTAAATCTGGCACCTCTTTCTCCATGTAGAGGTGCCTCTAAACTCTAAACTGCACTGGATGATCCTAAGCATTATTTTGCTAGCATGTGAAGTTAAGGATATTGTATGACAGTTTGCACACTCTTAAGTCTCCTTT